GACAACAAGCCAGGCAGAGTTTTCCTCTAAAATTCGAAAGGTTCCAGGATAAAAGGCAATAAAGACATGCCTCCGGAGCACGCTGGGACAGGAGGGGCCAGCCTGCCTTCCCCCCTGCCTGGCTGCTCTCAAAGAGCCCCTCTGCCCCCCTCCTGTCACCCTCCTGCTGTCCCACGAATGAAAACAAATTGTGTTGGGGCTACAATACCGCGGGCTTCGCTTTGACCTGTGTGGTACAGTGACACTGTGCGGCTTGAATTTTTACATACAGCTGCATAAGGCAATTTTCATGTAAATTTCTAGGTAAATCAGCCTGCAGTTGGTCTATTACATGGACACATACACAGAAACCATTAAGTATGACAGAAGATTAGAAGTCTCCCTTGTTTCTTCGGATGCCTTTCCTCGAGCCTTCAACAGGGTCTGAATTAGAAAAACTAAAATGGTCAAAATGCCTCAGCATCACACATAGGCAGGGTGCTCATCCTTGCCTGTATATGCCCAAGGTGTGGGTACAGAGAAACCAGTGGGTGCCTCTCTGGGAAAGAGAAAACTTGGCATGAAAGTCAACTTTCAAATGATAAGAGGGACTCAGGTAATTCCCTAGCCACCTCCAGGACTCTGTCTCCTTCCTGTAGACACACCCAGTACAAGCAAATGGTCCCCAGGGTCCCCAGTGGCCTCAGCACTTCCCATCAGAGCAGGCAGGCTGGCCTAATGAGCTCACAGCAGGTGAGTAAGTTTCCAGGGTCAGAGGAGGGAATTTGCTCTTCAGAGGCACCTTTCCCTGGGATCTGGGAGGCAGGCCCTCTCTGCTCTGCCAGCAACAGGAGTTGGGCAGCTGACCGAGCCATCTGGCGGTGGGCTATCTGGGCCCTTCATCTAAATGTATCCTGGCCCAAAGGACACACATTTCTTGAACATGTTCTTTTAAGGCCACAGCATCCACGGAGCACAAAGGGAAAGATGTCACCAAAACCTGGCCGAGGATGTTTGTTTATGCAATCTTTAAATAATTCATCTTTATCCCTATTGAGCTCATCACAGCGTGTCACAAATAAATGTGTCGCCTTGGCCTATTGTTTGCAGCTCAGGATTGTCGAGCGAGAAGAAAATATTACAGAGACGGAGGGAGATACACGCAGGAGTGTGACCTTTAACTGCACTACCTATAACCAATCTCATCAAATTAAAGCACTGTATATTTTCCTTAATAATCTCTGATTAGGCTGGGGCTATGAGTGGACACGAACACCCGCCATTGCTATGCAGCGGGATGTCTGCTTAGCACCAGCAAAGCGTTTGGGAATAAGTGAGCAAAATGCTTTAATTTGATAGGGTTAGAATCCTGCAGGCTTTGGGGTGAAAGGTCCCCAACAGCTCCGCTCACACTGAATATGCAGGAATAAAAAAGTAAATTGCTTACATCTGCTGCAGGCGGCAGGGAAAATGATCTGATTGGACAGTCCGAGGGCTCTCCATCTCTTTTGGGTTAGAGAGAGGGTTTCAGAGCATCAAAAGCTTGTAATTGGAGTAATTCTGAATTAATGGACACACACACACACACACACACGCACACACACACACACACACACAACATTTTGCAGCAGCTGTTTGCAGAAGCCTGCCTGTTTAGGAATGCTTGCAGATTGTAAAGAAGCAGCCACCTACATGCACAATTCTCCCGTAATATTCTTAATTATATTAAACATCTACCCTACACACACCCAGTTTAAATAACGTTTTAATAAAAATCATTTTTTAAGGTTTTTTTTTTATTTTCTCCCCCACAATGAATCCTAACTAAGGGTTTTAATTTGACAACAGGTAACCAGTATAACTTTTCGTATCTGGCTCATCCTTGTGCCTAGAAGCCTGGTTGCTATCAGACCTACACATCTCCTTGCCCACTTAGTACATCTTCCTGAAATACATGTGCACTCTGTTCTCCTTCATGCATAAAAAGATGATTGGAAAAAGGCTTCACCGGGATTCCTAGAAGTTGTCACAGGAAGCTCAGGTTTTGCCTGGCTGTGTGATGTGGGATTTAATCTGCGTATTTAATCAATAAGAATCAAAGGCAGGACTCAACATCTTTGGGGCACAAGCCAGTTGAATTTCAGTGAAGATGTCAGGAGGTGGCCTGCTGGGTCACCTTGGTGCATTCCCAGGACCTTAGTCTGGAACCTGCCTCACTGATGGCATGAGGCACTGGCTCGATCTGCTGCTTTGTCTAGCCTTTTACGCCGACTAGGCTGAGGTTACATTTGAACTTTGTTTCCATTTTATTTCATTAGCCTACACCAGGTTGCAGACTCCGTTGTGGGCAGGCTCCTGTCATGAGCTGCCTCTCATGGTGGAGAGAGTAAGCCGCCCATGGGAGGGAGAACTACTGCATGGAAAGGGCGAGGGAATGCAGCCTGCGAGGCCAACTTTCAAGAGCTATTTCTCATCCGGGCGTTGGTCTGGGAAGGCAGCTTTGGCCAGGCAAGCACTGAAGCTGAGATGGAGGTTCCTGGATGCTCTTGGATGAACTCGCCTGACAGGGACAGCTCCCAGGCCCTCTGATATTTTAGTAGTAAATGGGGCTGATGTCCAAATGCAAAATTGTTTTCCATACTCTTAGCATCATGAAAGCATCTAAATAGCCTATTGTTTCCTGCAAACATCAGGTTGATAGATTTTATAATGTCAAAAACAAGCAAAAAATATTCTAGATCATAAATTTTTTATATGAGGGTGTATACATACACACACAAATATATATATGCACACACACATACACACCTAAACATATTTTTTTATGTGGACCAATGAATAGATATGTACCCAGCCGCACCAAAAGGAGTCTGGGTTCATCCTGCCCAGCAAACTCTATGCTACATGGAGGCAATGAATCTTTTTAATTTCTCAACTGAGGCACGATTGCTCAGGTTGGCCAATGAAGATGCCATGCATGACCTGGTTTCTCTTAGAAGGATTGTCTGTGAGCAGAAGTCCTTTCCTCTGGAAGGTACTGCTTTTACCAAATGGCTCCGAGCTGGTCTCTATCATCTTGAAATCTCCTTTGTCTGCCTGACGCTGCCACAGTCTATTGGAAGGCATTTGTCAACAATGATATGTCTATTAAGGAGTAGTCGGTCAGTGTGGGCCCAACAGCCAGGCCTCCCGGGCCCAGCTATTGATAGGAAACTGTCAATATCCCATCCAGGCCTTTCTCAACAAAACCTCACCCGAATCATTGTCTGTGAAACATCACAGGCCTGCTTTACATCCCAAGCTCTGATTTCTCCGCTTTCTAAACTAATATTCAGTTTGAATGAACAAAAGCCCTTAAAAAAAAAAAAAAGCTTAAAAAAAGATTTTTATTAAAACGTTATTTAAACTGGGTGTGTGGGGGGTAGATATTTAATATAATTAAGAATATGATGGGAGAATTGTGCATGTAGGTGGCTGCAATTACTTCTGAAAATTGTAAAACCGGAAGAAAATTAATAAGGGCTATTTTAAATTAACTTGATGGTAATTAATATCTATAAATACTTTCCATTCCACCAACACAAAGTTTAGACTTATTTACCTAAATTAGGACAAAAGGTTGTGATATTAGCCAATATATTTTCATGCATATTCCATTTACAAATCTAAGTGCAGATTTTGTCATTATTATCATAAAGGGCTGTCTCTTCTTGGAAGAAGAAAGAGTGGGAGTTTCACGTGAATATTTGAAACTAAAGGCCCCGCACCCCCCAGCAAAAAACACAATGCGGGGGTGGGGGAGGGAGAAGTAAAGAAAGAAAGGAAAGAAACCCTAACTAAGGCTGTATCTTTGGAACAGGCACTGCTCCCGCAACACAGAACATACTAGTTGTCCTACAGTAAAAGGCCCCATCGAACCCCCTCCACAGAGGCCTCAGACACCCAACGATATTTAAAGCAGATGTAATATTAAGAGTCTCTGCCCTACCAAACAGGCACTTTTTAAGATCTGTTACAGCCGACGCTTGTTCAGTTTACAAAAACAAACATTTTCCCCTCTCGTGCAAAGGCTTCCCTACAATTCTCAGACTCAGATGAGAAATTAATGGGAGGCAGGCCTGGTGGGTGGCTCAGGGTTCAGGGAATCCAGAGAGAAGGTACGGCTAGACCTACCCCTCTACTCTGAGCCTTCTTCTGTTCTAGCCCATCAATTTCTCCTAAAACCAAATAATTCAGATATTGGGAGAGAGAGCAAATAAAGGTCAGAAAGAAACCCCCAAATCCAGTAGAAGTCTTTTAAGTTAGTGTAAAAATTCAGGAAAAAAAAATTTTTTTAAAGAACTGAAAGGACTTGAGATGTCTCCGGTCTTAGGTAGACAAGAGTGTCTGCCCATTCCATTTCTTCTTTTCAGATTCAAAACAGAGTCGATTACAAGAAAACTGATCAAATCACCTATCTCCAGCCTAAAAAGAGTGTTCCCCACAACCCAGGAATTTTAGGACCACAAGCTAATGGCTTTTAATGCCTATTTGGTATTACAGGTGCTGTGTTGAAACCTACCTATTGATATTCACATTCAATCTGCCATACAGACTTAAAAGAGACCTGTGGTTCATTTCAGATGCTCGCTCAAGGAAATTATAGATGGCCTTAACAAAATGTTTCAAGAGCATAAATAGTGAAATGGACCAGGTCAGGCACCCACGTACTAAAAGGTCCCTGAGTCATTACTTCCATAGCAGACAGTCATGGTTGCAAGGGGCAGCTGATCTCCTCTTTTGAAAGCTCCATTATGTGTATTTACAAAATAAACAATGCATGCAAGTTCATGATTGTCATCATTAATAATATGCATTATAGCAAGCCGTTAAATAAATATACGTGCCACAGACGTCTGCCAGACCCCATCACGCTTTTTTTCTACATCAGATCCAAAGCATTGTCTTTGTTGCATTAAAAAAAAATCGCTCTTCATTAGGAAGCACCAACAAAAAAAACCCCATCATTTAAAATAACTCACCAATGTTCAGATGTTCTGATTTAAATCAGATAAGTCAGGAAGTGCAGAGCTGGGGTGAGGACTTAGTCTCATTACACTCAGGTTTGCAAGGCGCGACCGCTAATCGCTAACTGGGATACAAAATGTTCTTGATGCTTTAATAATTAACTATCTCTCCTAGGAAATGACAAACAAATAAATGGACAAATAACATGATCTCTTATGGGTTCAAACTGAGTAAATTGGTGTGTATTGTTCCTATCATGATAGTGTCCTAAAAATTTTATTTTGTGTGCATGAGAATAGTTTGCACATTGACCAATTCTTTCACCTCAAGTTCTGTTTTAAAAAATAGGGCTTAATCTTTAAGAGTTTCAATTCGACAACCTGAAAATCCGTGTACAACTGTACAGAGGTCTTAGCAAGATTTGGTTGAAGCAAATCTCTAAAATGTTTAAAATACATATTTTTTAAAGTACATATTACTCAAGGCTCTCATTAAGTAATACTCAGTTCAAAAAAAAGACAAGAAAACTTGAAGCAAAACTCTAATTGTCAAAGATTGATATATATTGAAAGTTTGTAATAAATAGCTTACACCTTACTTAGTTAAATATTTTACCGCATTCGGAAATATTGAAGCAGCACAATGTGAGGCAGGTTATTTATTATACATTGTCTACACATAGGACAATGTTCTTCCGAGAAAAGGACATTGGCACTATTTACAAGAATAAAGGAGAACGTTTAGTCCTCTCAATTTTCTCCTTTAAGAGGATGATACTAATGGCTTAATAAGGAAAAATATATAAATGGCCGTTCATCATGGTTATTTCATCCGTCAAAAAGCAGTACTTTGACAGTTCTAGGTATAAATGTGTGTTACTTTCTTTTTACAGAGAGATTTTGGTGGACAGAGCATAACTAAACTCGTCAGACATTTATTTCCTAAACCTTTGCCAAGTTTCGATCCGCAGAAGAACAAATATGGTGAGAGCTGGGCTGACTCAGAAAGTCCAGGAATGTGGCAAAGGTTACACAGCCTTTCTGTGATAGGGAGCTGATCTCCCAGCCTCCATTTACCAGACAGAGAAGTACAACTTTGCTCCTATCTCCCATCAATTAAAAGAAAAATGAGGAAGAGAAAAGGAGAGAAGAATGAGACAGGAGAGGGAATGGATGAGAAAGAACACGGTCAGTTCCATCTGCTGGGAAGCCTGTATATGCATTAATTGTTTTTGCTTGGTTTTCATCTAGAAATGTAATCTTAGAAAATATCTGGCTAAAACCCTATCAAGGGCTTCTCTATACTTAAGAATTAGCTCTCACAACCCTGGCAAGTCCCAAAATACTAGCAAATTAAAATAATTGGTCTCCCTGGAAGCCCAGGGTACATCTCTATGCCTGGCTCCCGGCTCTTCAGAGCAACCCAGAATAAATATATTTAGGCCAGGGTTACTCCGTTGTAATAGATCCCTGTCTGTATTGGGGTCTAATAACCTATTTTTTTAATACCTTATTTTAGTCCTCTGCTTAGAACTACAGAGGAATAAGAGAACCCACTCATGTGGGCTTTTGTGACTGCTTTCAACTTACAACTTTTTTGGACACAGAACCAGCCTAGAATATGTGAAACCAACATAGAGGGTAATACATTGCTTAGAGGTAGGTGCCTGTAAGGTATTGCTGTGTTAAGATAATATGAAGCTGCTATGCTTTTTGAAAAGACGAAAAAAAAAGGATGAGGGGATAAAATGACATTATCTTCCTTTTTCCAAAGACTAATATGCTTTATTTTCCACTTGTTTTGGCATATTTCCATTTCTAAAGAATATATCTAGGCTTCCTTGTCTCAAAATACAGGCCCTTCTCTCTCTTACAAAGCTCCTAAAGGTATCCGGGGGGTGCAGATCTCTCACACATGAAAATCTTCTAAGCTGAACAATCTTAATAAAATGTATTTTTAAAAAATACTAGAAAACAGCTATGATACTGGGCATTTATAAAGAACACATTTATTTTAAAATGCATAATCTGAGAACAAAAATATGCTTGTATAAGGAAGAAATTAAGAATTTTTCACTGAATTACTTTGTAGAAATTCAATTCAGTGAGGCATTTTTTTTTTAAGTTTCACACAGATCTAGAATATCCTTACATTTTGGAATTATTAGAAACAAATGAGAACTTTTCATTCTTTCATTTATCCACATACACACACACACACACACACACACACACACACACACACACACACACACACACTTCCTATCAGAAATTATTGGAGGTCAATAAAGAAACCTTGTGGTATTGCTAGCATAAAATAAAAGCATTTGCTAATTATTCTTGTCCATTTAATTATCAAGTATTATTTCCTGTTTTTCAAATCAGCGATTTCTCTCTGAACAATGGATTAGGACACACACCTTCAAATAATAATTAGAAAAAAAATCATCTACTTTCAGAATATTTAAGGGTGAAATGCCAGCTGCTGCGGGCAAAATCCATGGTATCCTACCGCCATCTACTGACCATTGTTCAAATGTAATGATTTAAAGGTACAGGTTTAGCTTTATAGAATTAAAAGACTTTTACAACCAAAACACTTTGAAAGCTCTACTGGAATGACTCATTACTTTGAAGGTGGTTCCAAATGCGTGAAAATGTTTCATTTCTGTGAGCTAAACTCTCGCTACCTATAATTACCACCTCCTGCGTTTGGCTTTACCTTCTGTGGCTCTACTGAGAGTGTTGAGTCCTTCTTTCACCCTTCTTCAGAATCCTGAGGGCACAACTCAAGTCCTCTCTATCTCACCACCCACCCAGCACACACACACACACACACGCACACACACACACACACACACACACGCACACAGTTTCTTTTCCAAACTAAGCAGTCTTTTCTTTCCCAGCTCTGCATCTGACATAGTTCCAAGCCCCTTTACAAGCTGAAATCTGTCCTTTGAACACACTTTGTACTCTTGCCTTTAAATGTTAAATCTGAAAGAAACACTGTGCAGAATAGGTTGATCACCTCCCTTGCTCTGCAAGCTGTACCCTTGCCAATGCAACCAAAAGTCATGGTAGATATTTGGGCAGTTATAAACTACGTGTAATGTTTTGCACTCAGGAAATCTCTCAGACCTTTCTATCTGCGCTATTTGCTGCTAAACTATTTCCTCCTAATAAGTTGTTAGGTTTTTTCTTGTTTTTTGTTAATTAAAACTAAGAAAACATCCTTATATTTAGTCATATGAGATATATTCTTATTTGAGATGGTCCGTGGTTTCAGCCCACCAAAGAATTTGTGTATCCTAATACTATTTTCTCCAGTATTGTGGTAGTCATGTATTTGTAGCAATATTGTTATTTAATGAGCACTTCTTCTCCAAGCCACTCTTATAGTTCTATAGCTGAGTTCCAGCTTGATTAGGTAATTTATGGAAAAGTTTCAAAGATGCCATTTATTTGCTTAGCACAATGCCTACCACATCATAAAACCTCAACAAATGAAAGCTGTCCTTATGATTATTATTAATAAAAATAACTAGTACAGATACATGATACAAATGTAATCTATGACATAAATTGCTATTATGTGACTATCTGTCACAGTAATAAAATCATTCAGTCAAAACTCCTAACTCAAAGCCCGTCTTTTTTCCTTTTGTTATCTTCACAATTCCTACAATGAGGCAAACGATCTGATCATCTTCTGCAGCAGGGTACTCAGCTTCTAGAGAATAATCCTTCTGGCCGGGAGCCTCAGCACCTTAGGGCGACTGTAAATTCATGTGCAAAATCCCCCTTCCCGCCGCACGCATCCTGCCTTTCCGCTCTCTCCTAACGTGTGCTCTTCCTGTTGAGGAGAACACGACGTTCTGAATCAAAGAGAAGGTGCAAGCAGACGAAAGTGGCATCAGCCTCTAGCTCCTCCCTTTGCTATGTCAACTGCTGGAGCCACTTTCTCTGGACTGGAGTCTCGGCCTCCCCTTGGTTCCTATTCTTGTTCTAAGAGTAACCAGAGCGTGACGCTCAGATCCGTGAGCCCTGCGAGTTCCAGGTCATTCTGGGACTGGCATGGACTGACACAGTTCCACTCTCTATGCCTGGCTCCCGGCTCTTCAGAGCGACCCAGAATAAATATATTTAGGCCAGGGTTATTCCGTTGTAATAGATCCCTGTCTGTATTGGGGTCTAATAACCTATTTTTTTAATACCTGAAAATAGCCTAGAATAGCATTTGCTTAATCCACATCCTCTCTAAAGGCTTTATTGAGGAGGAGATTAATGCCTCTCTCACCAGGAAAAAGAAAAATAGAAGCATTCACCAAAATTTTACTCTCATATATTCTAAAAAAATCATTTCTGAATATCAAAAGCAATCCGATTTTGAAAAATCCATTGACAGTTGAAAACCTGATAAATGACCCAAAGAGTGAAAACAGCCCTCTTCTCCTGATACATGTCCTGGGAACCGTATAAAACTTCAACTTCTCACCAAAACTGTGAGGTTCTGGAATGCCAAATTTTAATAGCAAAGTCATAAAATGTGTGTGTGGGGGTGGGGGACAGAAGTTAGCTAGCCAGACACCAATAAAGGCTGATAAAAGGACTTTTCCTTGAGCATTTGTGGTTTGGGGTGTGCAGAGCGCAGACACAGAGCAGAAATCTATTGGGATCATCATCCTCTGTCCTGATTTCTAAGAGGTTTCTGAACCTGGATGTCCACGGGTAACTTCTGACTTGAACTAGTGCAGACAGCACGAAGTCTACAGACCCACAGGGGCCAGATAACAGCAGCGCTGAATGCAAACGAGAAAACAGATAGAGGTTCTAGGCACTTGCTGTCTGCCCTTTCCTGCTCTAGTCTCCTGCCAGGAGCACAAAAACATGTCAGTACAATTGTTATTTATGGCCACTAGGCCACTCGGCTACTTCTTTCCTTCTCATCAAAGCTTCTCAAAGGTATGGCCTCATCCACTGACTCTCTCTCTCTCTCTCTGCCTTCCTTTCATTGAAGTTTTGTTTTTAAATAAATGTTTAATATTATCAAGTTACGAATTAAAATACATTTGAAGAAAGTAAATAGCATAAAAAGGCTTATAATATAATAAAGGCTTGCAA